TCCATTCACCCTTCACCCTGTGCTCACTGATTTACATTAATTCACAATTAACCAAAAGATCAATTTTCAAATTTTCATCTCTGTTTTCATGGATCTGGTCTTCTCTAGGAGCAAATTATTGCAGATGTTGGAATCTGTACTGAAAACAACAAATACTGGCGATCATAGTGGGTCAGACAGCATCCATGGATAGAGAGCAAGCTTACGTTTCGAGTCCAGATGACTCTTCAGCTACAATCTCCTCCACTCCACAACCACTGAAGTATAAGCACTCTTTTAATTCTGGTCTCTTGGACATCCCGGATCTTAGTCTTTCCAGCATTGGTATCGTCCAGTTGCCAAGTCTGTCTGACATCACTGACTAAGACAGAATTTATTACCTGGGGCTGCAATTAAGAATCAGCTGCATTGCTGTGGGTTTGGAGTCACCTGTAGGCTAGATCAGGTAAGGATAGAGGAATTGCTTCACTGAAGGGTATAAAGAGAATTTCCTCTGTTTGTATTTCGTTCCTTAAGATTTCCCTTAAAACTTCAATCAAGGTTTTGCTTATCTGCTCTAACATAGATTAGTGTTAAATTCTTCTTTATAACGCTCTTTGAAACACAATGGAATGATTTAGTATTCTGAAAGTACTGTGTAAATGCATATTTTTTACTAGAAATGAGTAAGGCATCACAAGGCAATGAAGTATCATTTTCATTCATGCATTGCCAATTTTCCAGAGGTTTCTGCCTGGTCATTTAATCTTTAAAGTTGCAACATTTCCCAACATTTTCAAAATACATCTTTCCCAACTTGTGAATCATTTCCGGCTGCATGGGATTGCAGCTGTGGACATTAAATGAATGCCAAACCATTGTCAAGTGTCCTCCTTTTTGTATGGAGCATAAGGGTGATCCCTTTGAAGCAAATTTGAAAGCTAGCCCCATGCCTCATATCAAATGAAGAGAAGTTTATGACATTAAATTCTGAAGATGCTTTTGCTTCATTACCGTTATGAGAGAGAGTTGGAAATAGAAATACAACTCTAGTTCTGAGGAAGGGTCACTCGACCCAAAACATTAACTGTGATTTCTCTTCACAGATGCCGCCAGACCTGCTGAGCTTTTCCAGCAATTTCTGTTTTTGTTTCTGATTTACAGCATCCGCACTTCTTTCGGTTTTTATTAAGAGAGACTTGGATACCAGTTTCTTCAAACAATTGTAACTGTCACTCGTCCATCTTTAAATCTTTATTCGCTTAGTAGCTGTAAAGTGGAATGGGAAGTTTAGCCTTCACCCTGGCAATACAGATTTTGGATTGTCTTCCTACCATGAGATCTAGTTCACTGATGGTGCCTGTATGTTGGTACCAGAACAAAGAAAGGCCTGCCAGTTAAGTTGCAGTTGCCCATCTAGTCAACCAGTTTTAAATTGATGAATTGTGTGTCAAAATTTCACCTGTGGATGCTCCCACCAGCAAGTTATTATTCAAGAAGATTTCCTTTGCCTCCTATCGGTTTGTACATTGTTAATATTGTGGAGAGATTTCCTACGGTCAATTTTGTGAGTGAAATCTTAATCTGTTTTTAAAGTGTGCATCTAAATTTGATTAGCTTTAGTGAAATCTTATCACCACTTTATGTGTTACTAACCGTAGTAATCAGAGGAAGTCTTCCACAATAGACCTCCACAAGACTTCAGAGGCAGCAGCTCCTATCTTTTGTGGTTTCAGCAAACCAATAAGGATGAAGCCAGTAACAGATGATCAGATAACAATCAATATCAATTGTAACAAGTTATAGACTGTTTTTAAATGACTCTATGTTATGATTTTATTTTGAACAACAAGAATCACTTATAATCTATAAGCATGACTTCCTTTCCATTGGGCTGGTTATTATTATCGAATGTCATGCACTACTGTGGAATGAAAACCAGCCCTCCTAGCCTGTGGCCTCACAATTCTGTTGCATAATGGAAACCTCCCATGTTACCACAATAAATAAGAATGCAGGACAGTGCACAAAATGATGATCTTTCATGAAGTTCAATTATTTCATCTTCTACAGTGTTACACTGTCACAGAACTAGAATGAACTTTAGTGTGATCCTGCAAAGTTTTTTTCTTAACCTATAATTGTTTACATACATTCACCTCCTTACACATTATCCTGACATCTGTCGGCATTGCTAACCATCTTTTATTTGCATCTAATCTAATAACATCCATACGTCCTGTAACGATGGAGAAATAATAGGATCTGCCTTCTCATTAGCATGTTCATCTCTCATAGCAATGCTGAGGCTTTAACTTCTACAAGGCTTGAGAAAAATAATGGCTCCTGGTGAAATCATTCTGACAAATGCCATATTTGATTTGAGCAAAGAATCAAAAAGTGTAAAGTATGGTCAGACTTCCGTTGTAGTATATGAGACATTAGAAAGAACTAATATCCTACTAAAGGCAATGTCATGGTTTTCATTATCACTTAAAGTTAATCCAAAACAGTTCTACCTCCGGCTGCCTGTCAGAAACCATGAGACACCTTGTACGCTAAACCACATGAATGCAATGACTTAGAAAGGTCAACATCCTCAGTTCAGGCATTGAAGTGCCTGCTTTACAACCGGATGCTGGTAAGGTTTGAATACAAGAATTATTTGTCTATTCCTTTTCTCTGCTACTGCAAGCAGCTCTGGACGTTACTTTTATTGGCCTGTAGTTGGTCTGCTAAATTATCCTCCTGCTGTTAGTAAGTTACTCTCCCTTATGTTCAGAGTTAACATGCATATATCTACTTTTCACAAAAGTTCTCCTGATCTGTTCAAAATTGGTTCATGGTAGTTTTATCAGAAGTAACTGTTCGCAGAAAATAAATGTTATGAAAAAGTAAGATTGGCAATTTCTCATCACACCAGATTCATTCCCAATTAGCTGATTGTGTAGCAGTGTTGATAGGAGGTAGATAGAGGTCCACTTGTTTTGATTTTGTTTTTACACTAACGATAATGGTGAAAGTGTCAGCATTAGTATCATTGCTGTGAAAGTGGCAGTAACTCTTAGAGTCTGCACCTATACAGTTAAATGAAAACACTGAAGCTGCTGTCTGTGATTAAATTCATTCCATTGATTTCATGGTTGAAATTCCCTCAGCCAACAATCAATTAAAAGTAACCAAATTGACAAGAAATTTTATAAGTCTCACAATAACAACCCTTGAATATTTTACATTTTTTGACTAAGGTCTTAGTGAGATTTTAACCAAACACTAATTTTACAATTACTAATGTAAAATCTTTCTAAATCTGAAAACTAAATTTAATTTTGTGAAATTTCAAATTTCTCCATTATAACTGAAAAATATTTTTAATAATTTTTAAGCATTTACTCATATTTCAATTTCTACCTTAATCCCTTGTGAATGCTACAATCAATTATATCACTCCCAGTAAAATTTAATTCAGGATGAAGAAAATTAGTGAATTCTACTTCCTGGTTTGCTGTCAATGGGTGTACTTCAACGTGATTGGTTCATTAACCCATTTAGTAGAATCACTATTACTGGCACTTTGACTTGGCATCAGATTTAAATTAATGTCTGGGCAAGTGAAACCCACACTCGAGATTGCATAGGACCTTCTTTGAGTCTGGAAGTGAGGAATATTGCACTGCCGTTGACCACAAAATACAGGTCTTTAACTCTGTGTTCATAATATTGTAAGGAATTGTTAGAGGGGTAATTCAGAAATACAAGGACAATCAGAGGGTAGTCATCCATATTTTTTTCTTGTCTGTACACTTCCATACAGCCAGTTATAGAATTCTGTCAGCAGAATCTATGAAATGCCTGACTTTTCAACTGCGACACAGTTTATATTTTAGGGAAGCCTAAGGAACACAGGACAAACACCGAAAGACAAAATAAATTGTTTGACCAAATCATTTATAAATTGTTTTAATCTGTTACTCTGCAACCATCGCATGTACAAGCATGCAGAATAAGATGGAAGAAAGAAATTCCTGCTGATTTTTAAATTAGAATTGAAGTTTACAAATGCCCTTTAAACTGCATCCTCCTATCATACGTAGTAACAAAGTTTTACTTGCTCACGACTTGTGCAGTAGTTAGATTTTCTGCCCAGCAAAAGCCAACACACTCACATCTGTTCAGCAATACAGTGTGCATTATATAGCATTAAAAATATGGCTCTTGTCAACACAGTCTATTATCTGACATCATGAACAATACCTTGTGGAAATGTTAACACATCTACGTTAGTTGATATCTCATGATATTGCTCATAATTACTTCAGACAAAGTGTAAACTTCTCTTTACAGATTGTGGGAGGGTATCTTACTCTGCCCTTTCTCCCTTCTGTCTCAGAGGTGGTAAGTATGGTGTGGACTAGTGCAGAAAAGAGATAAAAACAGTTATAGATTTCTGAAGAAGGGTCTAGACCCAAAAAGTCAGCTTTCCTGCTCCTCTGATACTGCTTGGCCTGCTGTGTTCATCCAGTTCAACACCTTGTTGTTACAGATTGCATTTGATGTTGGGATTGCAGGGTTATCATGTCTCTCAGTGATTCCTTTTCAATCCCTTCCCCAACCAAATATGTTTTTCACTTGTTTCCATTATGCATTTGAGAATGCTTTATTTCTCCATTGTATCTTCCCACTAGTCATCCACCAATTCAATTCAGTTACAAGCCCTACTCCAATTTCGAACACCACTCAACTCTTCTGTCCCCCATCCGCACCTTTCCATGTTGCTCAGCTTATTCATAAACTTTGTTCAAAACCCTCTACTCTCTCTTATTCCCACCCAAGAATGGGTGAAAAGAGGCAAGAAGCTGCCAGAACTTCCTATTTTTCTTGCCTTGTGTCATTTCTTATACATTTTCTTGGAACAGCCTTACTTTGAAAGTACTAACTTGCTTATATTGAAACAGAAACAAATAGAATGCAGAAAGACGCACACAGGTGCACACACACAAACACATACATGCGCACACACAAATGTACACAAACACACACATACATGTGCGCATACAGAAGCACAAACGCACAAACACATGCACACACACTCACACACACTCACACACACATTTCATGTAAAGCCAGGCCAATCAATGAGTGATATCATATTCAAATTAACTTAGAATAACATGAATTCTCTCTTTCCATCTTTCATTCTCTCTTTCCCATCAGCTTTTCTTCCTCGACTTTGTCGATTCACGTTCTAAAATTTAAAGAATAAAAATCAATAGTTTCAAGACATGAGTGATCAGAACTCATGATCAATCTTCTCTCAAACATAATCTCTTCACTTAAAAAAAGAATCGATTTTACCTCAAGGTTCTTCAAATAGAGTTATAATCATAGAGTCACATAGTCCTACAGCACGGAGACAGGATCTTTGGCCCAAACTGGTCCATGTTGACCAAAATGTCCATCCACACTAACCCCATTTCCCTGCACTTGGCCCATATCCTTCTCAACCTTTCCTATCCATGTGTTTGTCCAAATGCCTTTTAAATGTTGTTAAGTACCCGCCTCAACCACTTCTGCTGGCAGCTCATTCCATATGCATACCACCCTCTGTGTAAAAAAAAAAATTGCCATTCAGGTGTCCATGTATTCTTTCCCCTCTTACCTTAAACTGGTGCCCTGCAGTCCTTGATTCCCCAACCCTGGGAAAAAGACTGAGTGCATTCACCCTATCCATGCCTCTCATGATCTTATATACTTCTTTAAGATCCCCCCTCAGTCTCCTATGCTCTAAAGAAAAAATCCTAGCTTGTCCAGCCTCTCCCTATAACTCAGTCCCTTGAGTCCTGGCAACATGCTTGTATATTTCTTCTGCACTCTTTCCAGTTTAATAACATCCTTCCTATAGCAAGATGACCAAAACTGAGCACAATACTCCAAGTGTGGCCTCACCGACGTCATGTACAACTGCATCATAATTTCCCAACTTCTGTACTCAATACCCTGACTGATGAAGGCCAGAGTACTAGGTCTGAGTGCATGTATTTAAATCCTTATAATGTAAAATTAATTTCACATGCTGACATCATCTCTTGAACCTCAAGGTTTCACTGGGTTTGAAGGCAAATTTACAAAACTTTGGGAACAAAAACAGAAGTTGCTGGAAAAGCTCAGCAGGTCTGGCAGCATCTGTGAAGAAAAATCAGAGTTAACATTTCAGATCAGGTGACCCTTCCTCAGAACTGATGGTACCTAGGAAAATGTCAGTTTATATGCAGGAGATAGGGTGGGGGAGGGGTAAGGAGTATACAATAAGTGGGGGATAGAGCTCAAAGAGAGAGAAAACAGTTGGACAGACAAAGGAGTTGATCAAGATCTGGCTTGGAGGGTGAATAGCTGTCAATGGAGAATGTTAAGTAGTGTGTAATGGCAGACTATGTGGTAACAAGGCCTGGTGTGTGGGGTATGGGGCTAGGTCATGGGAGAGTTTAGGCCCTAAAATTATTGGACTCGATATTGAATCCGGAGGGCTTAGGGTCCCCAAGCGGAAAATGAGGTGTTGTTCCTCCAGCTTGCGTTGACCTTCGCTGGAACACTACAGCAAGCCTGAGACAGAGATATTGGCCAGGGAGCAGGGTGGTGTGTTGAAGTGGCAGGCGACAGGAAGCTCAGGGTCTTTTTTGCGAGCAGAACGTAGATATTCTGCAAAGAAGTCATCCAGTCTACATTTTGTTTCTCCAATATAGAGGAGACTACTTTGTGAGCAGCATATGTAGTAGTCTAGATTGTGAGAAATACAGGTATGTACGATTGGGCCCTTGGATACTTGGGAGGGTGGAGGTAAATGAGCAGGTATTACACCTTTGACGGTTGCAGGGGAAGGTGCTGTGGGGCAGTGGGGTGTGTTGTGAGTGAAGGAAGACTCCTCCCTTGTCCTCCCAGCTTTCTGCAGGGACCGTTCCCTCCCAGACACCCCATTAACAGCTATTTACCCTCCAGCCAGATTGTTATCAACTCCTTTTTCTATCCAACTGCTCTTCTCTGTCTTTGGGCTCTATCCCCACCTATCGTTTACTCCTTTCCCCATCCCCTCCCTATTTTCTGCATATAAACTGACGTTTTGCTAGCTACCATCAGTTCTGAGGACCTGAAACGTTAACTCTGATTTTTCTTCACAGATGCTGCCAGACCTGCTGAGCCTTTCCAGCGACTTATGTTTTCGTTCCTGAATTTACAGCATCCGCAGTTCTTTCAATTTTTATAAAACATTGGTTAGGCTACAGATGGAGTACTGTAAGCATTTCTGGTCACCACACTACAGGAAGGATATGATCGTACTGGAGAGAGTGTGAAGGAGATTCACCTGGGTGAATAATATCCATTACAAACCCACCGACTCCCACAGCTACCTGGACTATACATCCTCACACCCCACTTCCTGTAAAGACTCCATCCCATTCTCTCAGTTCCTCCGTCTCCGTCGCATATGTTCAGATGAGGCCAACTTTGACAAGGGAGCCTCTGAAACGTCCACATTCTTCCTCAACCGAGGATTCCCCAGCTCCGTTGTCAACAGGGCCCTCAATTGGGTCCGACCCATCTCCCGCACTTCTGCCCTCACCCCTTCTCTTTCCTCCCGCAACAGCGATAGGGTCCCCCTTGTCCTCACCTACCATCCCACCAGCATCCACACCCAGAAGATCATCAGACGCCATTTCCGCTACCTCCAGCAAGATGCCACCACCAGACACATATTCCCCTCCCCTCCCTTGTCCACCTTCTGCAGGGACTGTTCCCTCTGGGACACCCAGTTCCATACTTCCTTCACCCCCAACACCTCTTCACAGCCCTACGGCACCTTCCCCTGTAACCGGCGAAGGTGCAACACCTGCGCATTTACCTCCTCCCTCCCCAGTATCCAAGGGCCCAAACATACCTTCCAGGTGAAGTAATACTTCACCTGTACTTCCCAGAATCTAGTCAACTGCATTCGCTGCTCACAATGTCGTCTCCTCTACATTGGGGAAACGAAGCATAGACTTGGCAACCGCTTCACAGAACATCTACTTTCTGCCCACAAAAAAGACCCTGAACTACCTGTTGCCTGCCAGTTCAATGCACCACCTTGCTCCCTGGCCAACATCTCTGTCTCTGGCTTGCTGCAGTGTTCCAGCGAAGCCCAGCGCAAGCTGGAGGAACAACACCTCATTTTCCGCTTGGGGACCCTACAGCCCTCCGGACTCAATATTGAGTTCAATAATTTTAGGGCCTAAACTCTCCCATGTCCCAGCCCCCCATCCCACACACCAGGCCTTGTCACCACATAGCCTGCCATTACACACCCCCTGTTGTTAGTCACTAACAGTCCCCATTAACAACTACTCACCCTCCCAGCCTGATCGTTAGCAGCTCCTTTGTCTGTCCAACTGTTTTTCTCTCTCTTTGGGCTCTATCCTATCGTTTACTCCCTACCCCACCCACCTCCCTATTTTCTGCATATAAACTGACGTTTTCCCAGCCACCATCAGTTCTGAGGAAGGGTCACCGGACCCAAAACGTTAACTCTGTTTTCTCCTCCACAGATGCTGCCAGACCTGCTGAGCTTTTCCAGCAACTTTGTTTTTGTTTCACCTGGGTGATGCCTGCGTTGAAAAGTCTTTGTCATGAGGAGAGACTGGACAATAATTTTAGAAAGACACCATGCCAGTGCAGGCTTGGTGGGTTGAAGGGCCTGTTCCTGTGCTATACTCTTCTTTGTTCTATGAGTATCTAAGGTATCATGAATGATGCTGAACATTGTCCATGGACAAAGAAATCATGAGATTACCCAAAGGCAGACATGTCTAAGACCAGAGGACATAAGTTTAGGGTGAGGAGTAAGTGTTCTGAGGAAACATTTTTTTCAACCAGGGTGTGGTAGAAATATGGAATGTGCTGCCTGAAAGGATAGTGGAGGCAAGTACTCATGCAATACTTAAGAAGCTTCTGGATAAGTATTTAAAATGCAAGGCCACAAAAGGGAATGAATCAAGTGTTGGTAAATGGGATTAGTGTTGTTTGTCGGTCAGTATAGACATGGTGGACGGAGGAACTGTTTCTATACTGTACAACTTAATGACTCCATGACCCATACAGGCATCAAGTAAGGTAAGGATATAAAATAAAAACAAAGTACTATGGATGCTGGCGACCTTACCTTTGATTTGTGCGTATCTGTGTTGCACTATTATTTCTTCTCATGTTTAGTAGCAAACAACTCACTCTTTGTTAACTCAAAAAAGCTGATTAAATTGACTCCTATTTAAACATAAATTCATTTGGCCTGGGACAAGGTTTTTGACAATGGATGGGATGCTTAACCTGGTTTCAACCAACCAAGGAGCAGGTGAACAAAGAAGGGGAGCGAGTTCCCTGCTCATCATCCGAAATGTTGACAGTGTTGGGTCTTCCATCTGGAACTGTAGCAACTTGAGGAAACTCACCTGAGGTGTGGAAAAAACACTTGCCCGGCACCAGTTTTCCCAGAAAAACCTTCCAGGTTACCCAAATGGGATGTGGCTCCCATGTCACTGGTAAAATAGCACATGGACAAGATGAGGCACTTCACTTGCCACTTAAGGGCCTTGAGCCCTAAGATTCTATGGGCTGCCTCTGACCATTAAATTGGATAAAGTTTGGCGATGGACAGGAAGTCACCTGGCAGGCCCCATACCGTGTTTCATAGCTCCCCATCTACAACCCATCACCTTCAAACTGATAGGGAGAGGGCCATAAAATCTATCCCAAGGCCATTCCTAATGACGCAATTTCATCAGGTTTTCACTGAAATTTAATGCAATAACAACATAACTAAAATTTCTATTGGTGCTCATCTTGATTTAAATGGAGAAAACATTGTCACTCTTGTGGTAGTAACCATAATTTTTGCCTTGTATATCCTTCTGTTTTGTCATTCTGTTGTCACTTTTACAAACCATTTCTCTTCTGATTGTGAAAATTGTTACCTTAAAATGTTGTAGATCCTTTGTTTCATCACCCCTTCCTTCCCGCAACCTTTGCACTTCTAATCATTTGTTCACGTAATTCTCTTTACAGTAGGTACCTGTAAACAGACAGATTCAGAGACGACCAGACTTTTGCTTGGGCAGTGAAACTAAGTTAGTTTTTTGTATCTCATTTGGTCATCTGCAAAGTCAGCTGTTTTGATCACTGAAGCAGATGAAAGCACCTAGCTAGAATTTTTAAACCAAGAAATGAGTCATTCTTCACAGGGTGAAATCCAAATCCAGTTTTATTATGTTGTCAATACACTGCAGAGATTCACTTCAGCTTGTTAACATGATAGCAGACAGATGAGGTGAAATATAAAGTACTGGTCTATGAAAGCCAAGTGAAGGGAAATTGAACAGAACTCTCAAGTTACTCTGTTGAGTTTCAAACCACAACCCGAGACCCAGCCAATGGCCGAAGTGATGCAAGTTCCATTTGGCTAAACTGAACACTTTGACATGGTATCCAACTATCAGTACAAAAGAGTAGATTTGCTGTTTCTTTTGTGGACTGTCAGCACAATGAACAAAGGCTTCTTAAAAAAAAGCGAAAAAGGTGCACAATAGTAAGGGAAGAGAATGTGCAGTCAGTAAGAGTACAAAGCCTTTTGAAAACATGAATCACAGTACACATCATGCATTGTAGAGAGATTCCTTTGGTGAAATATTATAAAACAGACATTCTTAGACAGTCTCTGAGTTACTGAGACTGCAGCTATTTCCTTTTCTTGAAATTACTGTCAAGTACTTGTGCCTTCAATTCAGCTCGTCAATTTGGTAAGTTCCCTGGGGAGATAGCATGTAAACGAAAGTTTCGTTCTGTTATTAGCTTCAGCAATGCATTTGGAAATTGGATTTGCTTGTGTTACTTCTGAAAACTGCAATGATTTTCTTTTTTACAAAGCTGTATGCCAAGCGTGTTTTGTATGTGGGCTAACCATTGGAGCTTTGTGAAGCTTTCGAAATATATTACCTTCTCACAATTCCAAACAGCGCTAATTCGCATTAAAATCTAAAGTAAATAAAATTTTATTGTTCATTTCAAGAACACGGTGAATTAAGAAATGTTTTGGAGTGTTGTCTATTTTACTAATATTACTTTATAATAAGCATAAGAAATATGTTGTAGATTAACTTTACCAAGGTTCAGTGAAACCAACATATAGGAATAGTAAAAGGGTTCTCACAAGTTAACAGCTCCAAAAACATTTTTAATATAATAGAAGGCTCAAAGTGGTTCAGAGGCAAAAATAGCCAGACAGCAAGATGTGTTAAGGGTGGTAATTGAAGATGATAACAAAGAAGTGAATTTGAGACTTTTGAATAAAGGAATAGAATTTCCAAGGGAAATGGGTTTAAAGACTATTGCAGAATGTAAGCATAAGAGAGCTAAAGGTTTTTAGGACAAAAGTGAAGGCCAGAGTTCAAAGAATAGACAGGTACACATTGCAACCTAAGGATGAGGGGATTTGCAAAGGTGGGGGTGCAATCACACTCTGCAGGAACTCATAGACAAGAAATAAGATATTAATATGCTTGAGGGATAGGGAACCAACAATGAATTGGTAAAGGCAATGATTCTATAGGAGCTACATTTAGTGTGGAATAGGATATGCCCAATGGAAGCAAGTTGACCATAGCAAGCCAACAGGGAAAACCTTGTTAGGAGACAATTTTGGACTCTCACTCAATGCCCCAAGGCACAATGATCTGAAATTGTGCCGTGTACAAGAAATACCTTAATATAACAGTTACATTATCTTTGAATAATATCATAAGCATTTTATTTGTTATGATTTAAGTATGAAAGAGCTAGCTTTAACAGCAGAAACCAACTGAGATAGTTCACAAGAAACATTTTAATTAATATTGTTCATAAAGAAATAACATCTGATGTAAACTAAATAAAAGGGAGCTGTGTTTTTTTTGAAAGACTGATATAGCACTCAGCCTCACCAGCTCATTATAACGCCAAGTGAGGGGCAACTAATGGAGCAATTTCTTTTCAATGTGAGTTGTAGAAAATGGTTCTAGGCTTCAGCATTTTATGTACAGCAGGAACTAGGGCCTGTTGTGTATCATAGACTGCCCCATAGTATATGGATTGAATCTTAAATAATCAGGGCAGAAATCCCACATTTGAAAAGAGATGTTAGGCCTGTTCAGCCAAAGAAAGTAGAGCAGCACACATCTGCTCAGCTAGGCCTATAAATTCCTGAAGAACAAACTCAGGTCATTCTAGTAATGCTGCAAAAGGGACTTTAAAAATGTCATTAAAACCCTCGGGTATAAATTAAGTCTTCTCTGAGCATTCTTGAGACCTTTATGAGAACCTCAAAGGAACTCACACCAGTTTTCAGCTGATGACAGTTGCATTAGAGCTAACAAATTCATAATGGGTGCATTTCCTGGGATTGCTGGATTTCACATTTGGCTCCACCTTGTATTCTAGCATCCTCCTTCTCCCCACCTCCCATTACAATCCCCAGCAAATGATCCAACTCGTCTCCATTCTCCCTAGGAACGGGGAATTTAAGGCCCAGAATATTCTGTTGTTGCTGTCATTGGTTTATGACCACAACTGAGTAAATTTTAAATAAACATTCCCTTTTTGCTTATGTTATTACTAATAAAACGCTGCAGTCCACGTGCTGTAGGTAGACTCACAATGTCCTTAGGGAGGGAATTCCAGGATTTTGACCCAACGACAGTGAAGTAATAATGATATATTTCCAAAGTTAGGATGGGTCAGACACTTGGAGGGGAATTTGGAGGTGGTGGTTTTCGCATTTGCCTGCTGCCCGTGTCCTTCAAGATGGCAGTGGCTGTATCTGGAAGGTGTTGTCTGAGGACTCTGGTGAATTTCTGCAGTGCATCTTATAGATAGTACACACTGCTTCTACTGAAAGTCAGTGGTGGAGGGACTGAATGTTTGTGGATGTAGTGCCAATCAATGGGCCTCTTTGTCCTGGATGGTGTCAAGCTTCTTGAGTGTTGTTGTGTCTGCACTCATCCAGGCAAGTGGGGAGTATTCCATCACACTCCTGACTTGTGCCATGTAGATGGTGGACAGAATTAGGGAAGTCAAGAACAGAGTTACTCGTCACAATATTCCAAGCTTCTGACCTGCTGTTGTAGACACTGTGTTTATGTGGCGAGTCCAGTTAGGTCAATGATAGCCCCAATTATGTTGATAATGGCGATTCAGTGATGATGACATGGTTTAATGTCAAGGGGTAATGGTTAGATTGTCTCTTATTGGAGGTGGTCATTCCCTGGTATTTGTGTGGCACAAATGTTATTTGTCAGCCCAAGCCTGGATATTGTCTGGAACTTGTTGCATTTGAACATGGACTGCTTCAGTATCTGAGGAGTGGTGAATGTTGCTAAACATTATGCAATCATCAGCAAACATTCCCACTTAGAGTCATAGAGGTGTACAGCTTGGAAACAGATCCTTCGGTTAAATTCGTCCATGTCAACCAGATATCCTAAATTAGTCTAGCCCCATTTGCCAGCATTTGACCAATCTCCCTCTAAACCCTTCCAGATGCCTTTTAAATGTTGTATTGTACCAGCCTCCAACACTTCCTCTGGCAGCCCATTCCATACACTCACTACCCTCTCCGTGAAAATCTTACCCCTTAAGTCTCTTTTAAATCTTTCCCCTCTCACCTTAAACCTATTCCCTCTAGTTTTGGACTCCCCTTCCCTGGGCAACATATCTTGGCTATTCATCCTATCCATGCCCCTCATGATTTTATAAACTTCTATAAGGTCACCCCCTCAGCCTCCGACACTCCAAGGAAAATAGCCCAGCCTTTTCAGGTTCTCCCTATAGCTCAAATCTTCCAACCTCAGCAACATCCTGGTTGTCCTAGAGTTGAGATGATTTACCTCCAGCCATCTACAACCATCTTTCTATGTGCCAGGTATGACTCCAACCAGTGGAGAGTTTTCCCCGACACACATTGCTTCTAGTTTTGCCAGAGCTCTTTTATGCCACACTCAGTTGAATATAGCCTTGAAGTTAACTGCAATCACACTCACCTCATCTCTGGAATTCAGCTCTTTTGTCTATGTTTGAGCCCAGGCTGTAATGAGGTCAGGAGCCAAGTAACCCAGGCAGAACCCAAACTGGATGTAACTGAGTAGGTTATAGCTGAGCAGGTACTGCTTGATTGCACCATTGATGGCACCTTCCATCACTTTACAGATGATTGAGAGTAGACTGATGGGGAAGTAATTGGTAGGGTTGGATTTGTATAGGACATATCTGGGCAAGTTTGCATGTTGTCAGGTCAATGTCAGTGTTGTAACTGAACTGGAACGGGAGTGACAGGTTCTGGGGCACAAGTCTTCAGTACTGTTGCAGGAATGTTGTCAGGGCCCATAGCCTTTGCAGTATCCAGTGTCTCCAACCATTTTTTGATATCACGTGGAGTGAATCGAATTGGCTGAAGACTAGTATCTCCAATGCTGGGGACCACTGGAGGAGACCGAGTTGGATCATCCACTTGGCACTTCTGGCTGAAGATTGCTGCAAATGCTTCAGCCTTATCTTTTGCATTGATGTGCTGGGCTCTTCCATCACTGAGGATGGGGATATTTGTGAAGCCTCCTCCTCCAGTTAGTTGTTTAATTGTCCACCACCATTCACGACTGGATGTGGCAGAGCTTAGATCTGATCCATTGGTTGTGGGATCGCTTAACTCTGTCTGTCACTTGCTGCAAATGCTGTTTGGTATGTAAGTTGTCCTGTTTGATAAAAACCTGGCTGACATCTCTTTCTTAGGTATGCCTGATGCTGTTCCTGGAATACCCTCCTGCATTCTCCATTGAACCAGGGTTGATCCCCTGGCTTAATGGGAATGATTGAGTGTGGAATATGCTATATCCTTTATGCATATCCTTTAGGGCCCAACCAGCTCGATCAGTAGGACTGCTGCAGAGCCACTCTTGGTGGTGGACATTGAAATCCCCCAGGGAGAGTACATTTTGTACCCTTGCCACCCTCAGTGTTTCCTCCAAGAGGAAGTTCAACATGGAAAAG